TTACAATATTCTAAAAAGTCTACCTGTATCTGACGCAGACCAAGAACCACTACATAAAGCACTAACATTTGTTTTAAAATAAAATACTTACAGTCCACTAATCCTATCCATGTTTCCCCAGAAGCTAACCAGGGTTTATGTCCAAGTGTGTGTGTAGAACAGCAGTTCTGTTGTTAGAAGTACATCTTTTTTCCTGGTCATCAAATAGAACCAGCTGAAGACAGAAATCTTTGTTTTAAACCAACCCCATTTCTGAAAATGTGGCCACATATTCTCAAATCATTGTTACATTTGGGATAAATGTCACAGTGGCAAGTTGACAGTGCAGTTCCATCCACTAAAATCAGACACTAATGTACATAAAATATTTTCCCAGCATAGCGCAGATTACTGTTCCTATGGTAATATTCTGGGTTAAATAAACTGAATTGGAAAAATCACTGATGACAGAAGAAAAACTCTCCTGTCAAGTTGATTGCTAGACACTGATGACAGAAGAAAAACTCTCCTGTCGATTGCTAGGACAGGAACGAAAAGAGAAGAATTCATGCAATTTATACAAGAGAAGAAATTTCAACAAGAAGAGAAATTAGACTAAAGAGGGGGCTGATAAATCTTTTTGGACTCAGAGTTCTTCCATCCCTTAAAAGTGCCACAACAGAGAAAGGCCTTTTCTGCATACTTATACATACTAGGAGCATCTGGGTCTCCCTGGCTGATCTTAAAATACAAAATCTAAGACTATGGGGGCTGCAGTGGACCCCCACCCTCAAAACCACAGATAGGCTGTGCTTCTGCTGAAATTCAGCAGCTGTTGTGATGACCACTGAGGCCAAAGAGGATCTAGAGCACCTGTTAACAGTGCAGGGCAAAGCACCTCCTTCCCTTGCAGAAGGAAAGGGGGAAAGGTACTTTTATGAGTAAGGCTCCCTAATGATTTTCAGCAGCAGCAATTTGGCAGCAGATGCACCAAATGCAGATGGGGATGGTACAGGGGACTACCAAAACAGCCTGAAGAGCCAAAGTGCAGGCCACATATTACCCACCCATCTTTAAGAACGGAGCATATGAAAAGCAGGAGTTCCTTAAAAAATCCTACTGCTAAAGATTTAAGCTTTTAAAGGCAAGCGATGGCGCTTTACATTTAACATTTCAATACTCTGTAAGCTGCAGTTGAGAAAAAGACAGTGGTTTTCTAAGCTTTGTCTTCAGAAAGCCAGTTCCATGCTGTGGTACCCTGGCACATCTGCCACAAACTTCAGCAGACACTGGGACCATCTCTGTTTTCAAGTGGCCCTAGCTAAGCCTATAAGGCCTAAAGGTTCCTTTGCATTAACCAGAAGTTCAATTTAGAACCAAGCCTACAATCTCTCATAGATGTGCAAACTATTTTTCAGAGATGCCTGGACCAAGCTCACCAGAGAACCCCAGTACAGAATCTGAAACCTACAGGGAGTAAAAAGAAGAATGCCCCTTTCTTGTGCACTTTTTCACATTTCATCTTGAACCCCCTTTACAAGACAACTGCCACAATAGCTAGCATTTTACATAATTAACAGCCACAGCTTTAGCACGGAGAGTGTATCTGTAGCAAAATAAGAACAATGGATTTCTTAAGCCATTTGGTTTCATTTCTCTTTTTTCCTTTCTTAGTGCTTTGAACTCAAATACACTCTATGCTAGAAAGACTCAACATTTCCCTGCATTAACAGAATATGATTTCATCAACTGTGTTACAGGATGTATGTAAACATGTTCTAAAAATGTGGGTGCAGTTTCAAAATTCGAATTACATGCAACAGCTCTTTGGAGGTTACTTTGCCATCTGGATTTTAAAGTGACAAATGAATTCTTAAACTCAGTTGTTAACAAAATAGCCAAAGCAAACCCCTGATAAACAAAACTCCAGTAGCATTTTGCAAAAAGTGCTGTCAGTAGGGCAGTGATTTGAACTGTGATGTGTTAATTACCCTGACAACCTCCTATTAAGAAAAGGCTGTTAACAAATGTAAAAGGCCAGTCTCCTCAGTATAATTAACATTCATGTAATTCTACAAGTTATTCATGACAGAGGTTCTTACATCCTACAGCACAAGCTTCAATGGAATACACCTGCATATTAAAGCGGCTATTATCCCTCTAATACTGAATGAGTTTCTTACCAACCAACCATGATCTCTCTATTTTGATGCCATGTATAAATATCTGCCATGTAATATCTCTCTTATTATGTCTGAAGTGTACTTGTCCACGAAAGCTCATATTAAAATATAACAGTCTTTAACCATGTTTTGCCTTTTTACATTTGTTTTTTTTTATTTTTTTTAAATAAATTTATTGTTATTGTAAGTATATACATAGTACACCCATACAATGAAATTCACAGACACCCAGAGACCAGACCCACATGCACACACATGAAAAATCCCCAAACACTCCCCACCCACTAAAAATCCTCCACTAAGAACACAAACATCTGCACTGCAGGCTAAGTAACACTGTCCAACTATTCACTACTGGTGGTCTTTTGGTTGTTACCTAGAGGATTTGAATTGTGCATATCTAAAACCTAAATGTATAATACACAAAGGATATGGGGCAAAACACAGTTTAAGAGAAGAAATAACTCTAAAAGCTTTCCACCTGGGTCTTACTGCCCCCAACACAATTCTTCTGTCAGTTGAAGCACAGCATCAAAAGCAAGCTTGGGTGGAGGTCTTGTAAAGGGCCCAGAGGCGATGGCACTCCCTTGCCAAGGAATTATCCTTAATATTGATCTATTCCAGTCAATGTAAATTCCTTGCACAGGGCTAGCAACCGTATCTTATGGCAAGAGTGAGAACACACGCACCAACAATGATTGCATTCTCTCAGGGTTAATCTATCAAGGGCCATATGTTGGCAGTAGGTGTAACTCCCAGCCCTCCCCCCCCCCATCTGTTCTCCTCCTTCCCTACCGAGACTACTAGGGCAGAATACTCTTGGCTAGGATATCAGGATAGTAAATATATATTCCTTAAAAATTCAGTGAGAACACAGGGGAGTACTGCCTAAGGCATTTAAGGCATTTTTACATGTGGGTATATAAGCAATTCAATCAATAAAAAAGGGCTTTGAAGGTGACAGATAACACACAACAGTAAAGCTGTTAAGAATAATTCACAACAGAACACTGCTGTGTACTCAGAAGCAGACAGATTGTCACTCCTATGTAAAGCACAATCCAGCCTAGATCTGCTCAGCTTGCATTGCTTTCAAAAGGGCACTTGTTTGTTTGAGCTTTGTGCCCCAAGATAGTGAACAGAAAGCTAAAAGACATGTGGAATTATTGCTCTGCAATTATTTTTAAGGAGAATTATATGAACAAAACAAACTGAAAGACCTGAGCATACTGTAGAACACAAATTATATAAATCTGTAATGTTTTTAAGAATCCAGATGAGGGAAAGAAACCCGGCTTTGGGACATTTATTACAGAGTACAGTACCAAGGACCTTACAGGATCTTGTGCAATTGTCTCAAGTATAAACTGGAAAGGCCTAATTCATAGCTATCTACCGACAAGTGCCTAAAGCACAAGTAGAGATGACACAGCTTACGCTGGCCTCTCTGTGGACATTTATGCAGCCTGAGCCATGACGTATCTTCTCCTAATATTGAAAATCACCACTATCAAAATGTATATTATGGAGCATTGACTGAGAGCCCAGTGCTGCAATAAAAAAGGTGGCTGGGAATCATTCACATGTTCTGCAGAACTGCTGCACATGAACTAAAAGCCAGAATTTTTAAATCCTCCCTAACCTCAAGGATCAGTGCGTGTGTACATAGATGTGTAACAGTGTACAGCCCTGGCCACCCACACAATATCCTAGAAAGTCCTCATCCTAAGAAAAGTCTCACACTTTATAGCTTGAGCCTTGTTTATGCACTACACAGCAAAATACCAAGGTACTGTACTGTACTTTATACACACATTGATGCAGTCATCTCTGGTTGCTTTTGTGCAAGATCGATTGAGAATGCCTGCAATCATTTTGGATATTTAAAATGCCTTATAAAACGGGTGTTACTGGCCAAGTGAAAAATACAACTGCAGTGTAGAAACACTGCACCCAGTGAGCATACACACAGAATAAAGAATGCCCATCATCATACAAGCTCCTAAGGCCTCCTGGCTCGCCAGTACTGCCCTTCCAGTGTGACCCATATTATTAATACCTATTAGAGGAAGCGCCTCTTCAATTGGACGCTGCTAGGATTGGGAGCTTACCTTTTTACAAGGTGAGCCAAATAACAAGAGTTTAAAGGAAGATATGTGGCCGAGAGGATGATGAGGGAAATAAGAAGGGGAACGTTTGAGTCCGGTTCCCTTTGAGTCTGCCCCTTCTCGCTACCCTCGAAGCGCCGCTTCTCGGGGGTATCATTAGAAGGCCGTAAACATCTAGGATTCGGTCTTTTTTACTTAAACGGGGGAGGAGAAAAGAGCAAAAGGGAGCGGATTCCTCGAGGCCGGGGGGACGGGGGACGGGACGACTCCTTGGGTCCGTCTCTCGATCAGTTCATGCACACAAAGTCTTTCCAAAGGGTTGCTTAGGTCCGGGAAACGAATAAAAACCGGACAGGTTTCACAACGCAGCCCCCCAATGCTTCGGGCAACGGGCCGAAGAGAGGGCTAGGAACCCTTCCCCTACATGAGGGGCTACCGGAGACCGGAGGGACGTCCTGAAGCCTAACTTCAGGAGCTCGTGGAAGGCGCTGGATGGAAATGCTCGCAGCGTAACCGCTCGTTCACGGCGGCACTTTGTCTTTCGCTGACTGACGGCTTAAACCGCCAGCCGGGACGAAGAGAAACGACGAGAACTCTGGCCGTGGTGTCGTGCCCTCGACAGCCCGTTCACACGTGCCCGCCATCACGTGAGGCGCATCCACGTGTGTCTCCTCCACTCCCCCCTCCCTCCCTCCGTCCGCCCGGTTCCTGTCCCCGGGAGCTCCCTTACCGGCCAGCAGCCCCTCCTGGCCCTGCATCCCAGCCGGCACCTCGCCGTTCTCGAGAATGTTGTAGCCTTCGTCATTCTCGATGCCCGCGATCTCGTTCTCCTGCTGGGCCAGAAAGGCGGCGGCCGGATCTTCCTCGCCGCCAGGGCCGCCGCCGCCCAGCGTCCCGTTTCCCGCCGCCGGCTGAGGGGCGCCGAAGAGGTCGAACTCGGCCATGAGCGGGGAAAGGAAAAAGGGGAGGAGCCAACGGAAGCAACGGCCTCGAGGGAGAAGGAGGACAGGGAGCGCTCGAGGCAGCCTCAGTCGTCGAACGAGCTCGGGAGCAGCGACAACTTCCGGCCTCCCTCGAAGTACTTTAATCAAGCGGCCCGCACGACTCCTTGCCTCTTCCTCCTCCCGGACCCCCCTCCTTACCCGGAAAACTCGTGGAGTGACGGCCCCACGCCGCCAACGAACTGAGAAGGGAGGAGAGGCGAAACCCAATCAGCGTGCCGCGAAGGCGGGAGGTAGGGCTGCCCACCACGTGACCTCCCCTTCTCCCTCCGCCTCCGGAAAGGCGATGTGGGCAATCTGCGCGCATTCCTTTCCTTGCCTTCCTCTCGTTAATGAGCGGCTTCCCCCCCCCCGGCTCTGGTCGGACGATGACGCCGCGAGGAAGGCGTGGCTTGGGCCTGAAACCGCGAGAGAGGGGGCGGGCAGGTGCTGAAGGCCCGGAGAGGAAACCCTGTTAACTTATTTTAACTTATTAAGCTATTACCGTTCATATTAAATTATTTTTGAATGCTGAAGGCGCCTGGGTTTGAACGCTTCTCCCTCCGCCTCCGGAAAGGCGATGTGGGCAATCTGCGCGCATTCCTTTCCTTGCCTTCCCCTCGTTAACGAGCGGCTTCCCCCCCTCCGCTCTGGTCGGACGATGACGCCGCGAGGAAGGCGTGGCTTGGGCCTGAAACCGCCAGAGAGGGGGCGGGCAGGTGCTGAAGGCCCGGAGAGGGAATCCTTTTAACTTATTTTAACTCATTAAGCTATTACCGTTCATGTTAAATTATTTTTGAATGCTGAAGGCGCTTGGGCTTGAACTGTATAGTCATTAAATACAGGTTCTTGAAAGTAGGGAGGCAATTTGGCATATGAAACCTCTTGCTTTCCAGCCTTCAGTGTCGTCTACTTGTGAGCAGACATTGTAGGAGCTGAATACTGTATATTTCTGAGATACATATGTAGAATTGCAGGTGCATTACTTGCTCTTTCAATATATTCCCGTTCCATTAACAAATGTACTGCGAAACGAAGGATGGACAAATAAACTGAAGATAAATTGCTTCTTTTCTCAGACCGTGATGTCTACTGATCATTTTAGGTGGAGCTGCCACATCTTCTGTAGCCAGAGCGTTGGCTCTGCCATAGAGCTAGGACTTCTCTTCAGGCAGTTGTTTCATGATGGGTAGCAATCCGAAGAAACAGGGTGTTTTATTTGCTATGGGGGGAGCTCACCTTCCGGTCTTAATGCAAGTGCATACAGCATTTACTAGAAGGGGAATGGGATGGGTCCCAGGGGGTAAAATAATGTCATTTAATGGGATCCAGCTCCCCTATCTGATTGGGAAGGGGAGGGAAAAATGAGAAGCTGTGTTAAGGCTGCTGCTCATTTCCTGCCCTGCCCCCTCTCACTTGTGAGCAAGAGGAGGCAGGCCTGACACAGATTGGGTTTACTTGATGGTCCCCTCCTTGGGTCAAGGAGCCAGAACCTCCCCTTTCCCAATCATGCCTTTTAAGTCAGATTTATCATGCTATTGTGTGTCATAGTCCACTTTCTCAACTACAGTGGAAGAACAAAGATGCTGTGTTTAATATCACACCATGTATGCAAAAATGAATTTCATTGGCAGCTGTTCTTTTGTAACAAGTGGTGCCTTAGAGAATTTTTTTATTTCCCCCATTGTTACAGATATCAGAAGCAATCACCATACACAGGCTTAATTAAACCAAATCACAACCTAGTTAGGGGCTTGCAGTAATTAAAGGTGATTATTATCAATGGGTATGCATTACAATCCCAACTGCTGTTTTTCATAAATAGGTTTTCTCTTTTAAAACTAAATAGCAGGACTTCTGGGTCTTTAAAAATGGAGTGATGGAGTGAAAGCTACAAACTGAAGAATTTCCTGACAAAAGAGTTGAACTGGTGGGGAAAATTCTGAGGGTAAGGAGCCAAAAGCAGTTCCAAATTTCTTAACTTTTAAGTAATGAAATACATCTGCATTTGCATTCAGTTAAGTTTGTGATTGGTTTATTTTACATTGTTTGAGTTAGGTCCTTTATGTGGAATTTAAGTGTCTCAGTTTCCTTCCAGAACCATGACCTAGAAACCCCTTTCTTTGTTCTGATTGTATTCATGATAATGTTGAACGTGAGGTGATAACTTCCTCACATGTGCTGCAACTTGTAATCCTATACTGTACTTAAAAACTGGCGTGGAAAGGTAGCTTTATTATTTTTAGACTACAAATGCTGTCAAGTTCCTGCGGAAAAAGAGACTGAACAATTTAAATACATATTTATACACCCAAACAGTTTCTTTCTGCTTAGGTTAGATCTGCCCATTCAGTCTAATGATATGCTAAGGTCTTGGAGTGGCCGGGACAGAGCAATGATAAACACCTTGTATCTCCACATGTTGAACTTCAGTTCCCGGAAGCCTCAGTCAGCATGACTAATTGTGAGGGATTACTTGTGCTGCAGTCCAAGACATTTTATGGGCTGAAAGCTCTCCACTCTTGCAACAGACTCGGCTTCTTTTGCAGATGGGTGATAACATTGCTGATTGTATAAAAATAAATATATACTTTCCTGCAATCAGAAAATTAACACAGGAAGCTTTCCTCTGATTTGCCACTTTTCTGATTATGGTGTGTCTTTTGATATAAAAGATCATATGGCATAATTTACTCCTTTACCATCAAGCTCTCTTGTACATTGATCCACTGGTCCGGTGGGCCAGATAGGCGGGGTATAAATTAAATAAATAAATAAATAAATTTACAAAGAAATATATACACATATATATACAAAATATATATACAAAAATACATTGTAATTTACAGAGAAACCTGGAAATAATGTTGTATAGCTATTTCAGCACACATCCATTCTATCATGTGGACATGTCCCTTTTAAATACTTTTCTTGAAGTGGGTGGACAGAGGAGAAGGCAGGGAACAGGCAGCATCTGCTGTTTCATGTTATGACTTTACATGTTTGGACAGAGTTTGGAAGAAATCTTACATAAATGTGAATGAATCTTGTTCACCTTCAGATTAATACATGGAGCAGCAGGGAGGATGCCTCAGTACCAAGATACATGTAGATGTCATTACTTTGTGCAGGTATATTATGGATACATGAGCCCCACTTTGGTAATCATGTTCTAGCACAAAACTTTAGCCACAGTTTTGTGCTAGAACATGAGAGAGAGAGAGAGAGAGAGAGAGAGAGAGAGAGATGCACTTCGTTTGGGAATTCCTCCAAGTCTGCACAGATTTACATATATATATTTCAGTTTAGCAATTTAGGCATATATATATACCTAAATTGCTAAACTGAAATATATACATATATGTAATCCTGTGCAGACTTGGAGGAATTCCCAAACAAAGTGCACTTTAATTTTGCATAAGGTTGTTGTTATACATAATTCACCTTAGACTGTGTCACTAAACATGCCTTGAGGGCAATCCTTTAAAGTTTAACTCATCAGAAGTAAGAGTTTAGTGAAACTAACCTTTGGTTGAGCATTTGTTTGTTTACAGCCCAAGGGCTTGTTTTAAATAAACATGTATAGGGTTCCACTGTTAAAACTAAATCTTAAATGTGTTTACTTGAAAGTAAATCTGAGTTATGTGCTGGCTATCACAGCATGCCATGTTTTTCATGACTAGCGCAGACCTCCTGAAACAGTTGTGCTACATTTGGTTTAATTTGAAGAGGATCAGATCATCATTATATAAAGTATATAAGGCATATGCTGAGGATCTTTATGCAGTCTTATTCTGGCATGTTTATTCATTCAGAATGAAGTCTTTCTGAGTTGAGTGGTTGTCATTAAACATAATAATACTGTATATAAGATTACATTATTTATAGCCCAGTCCTACATATATATAATAATCATGTGCCGTCAAGTCAATTCTGACCTATGGCGACTCTTTTCAGGGTTTTCTAGGTAGAAAATACTCAGAAATATATAATCAGCAGAAAATTATACTTCATTTAGTGATGAGCACACATTTTCCCAGTCCTTCCAGTTCCACACACATACTCTTTGAAATTTAGCTTTATATGTTTGCTGGAGGTAAAACTCTATGGCTCCAACACAGATTCTTGGAATTGCAAAGGTTTATTGGGCAGTGGTATTGCTGTGGTGTTTACATTTAAGTGATCTGTAGGTATCCAACAGAGAAAGCATATTCTATCATGGAATAACATTTTCTCACTAAATGGCAGTTTAAGAGAGTTTTCCTAAAAATGGGACTGCTTTTGGTATCCCTCCCCCCCAAGTGTTTAATACTGTTTGTTTTAATATTGTAAGCTGCCTTGATCCTCTGGAGGAGAAAGGTGGGGTATACATATTTTAAATAAACACATAAATAATGGAAGTGAGCACTGTAAAAGATTCACTTATGGCATTTCTGCTTAATAGGGCTGCTGTGAAAAGCACAGGAGCTGAGCTAGAGGAAGATGGTTACCCTCCATTTGCTGGAGCATTTTCCTATAGGAGATTTGCACAGAGCTTGTCAGAGGCCGGAAGAATGACTCCTTAGCCACTTCCCCTCTATTCTGAAAAGGTGCTGGCTCAGCTGTCTGCTATATTTCTCTGGAAAGGACTGACTAGTCACAAGATCTTTAGCAGCTGGATTTCCTAAGTCTTGCTAGGCTGCTACCATCATCTTCGTTAGCATTTGGCTTTCCTAGGAAGCCACTGTGAGAAGGAAGAACTAGTCAGCCAAGGCCGCAAAGCTCATCCCCACCCCTGTAGCTTGCCTAAAATCCCACTCCACCAAAGGGCTTGGAACTTGAGGGCAAAGAGGAGATTGTCTCCATTTGGTTTAGGAGCCTCCAGTTTCTGTTCTTTACGTGTGTCTATGCCACGGCTTCTAGATAGCACAGAACAAACCCATTAGGCTCCCTTTCTTAAAATTTTCCTTGGAGCAAGTTCTTAGGAGTTTACAAGTTGCTTCTCTCTTCAGAGAAACATGCAGCACAACTTATAAAATATTAGGAAACCACTGAAGGCACCTATTTATTTATTTGTTTGTTTGTTTGTTTGTTTGTTTGTTTGTTTGTTTGTTTGTTTGTTTGTTTGTTTAAACAGTGTCTACTTGGGGCGGCTTACAAATATCATAAAAACATAGTGAACATTAAACAATTGAATCAGTAATATAGTGTATTCAAGATGGGGAATGATAGGAAATAAGAAGATAGAATTCAAGAATTGACAGAAGGGAAGGCCTGCCTAAAGAGCCAAGTCTTTAAATGGCTCTTAAAAACACCCGTCGAGGATGCCAGGCGGC